TTAATCATCTTTACCGCCAGTACCAAGTTTCCTTTGCAGGGGTTCTGACCTTAACTGACGATACCGGCGAAATGTTTTGAGAATGTATCAAGTCAATGGTCTGAAGCTGAAAATCAAGAATACTATGGTAGAGGACACAAGACTAGGTAGGTTAAACAAGGTCTCTCTGACGCTCCTACCAAGTTGTGAAAACGAGGTAGAGCCAACACTATAGACTGTGACACTAGGAGACTGCGGCCAAACAGAAGGTCTAATTATCTATGAATAATCTATGAATTATATTAGGTTGACTAAAGTGATTATCATTTTGTACAGATAAGTCAACTCAACAACCTAAATTTTAATAGAAGCAGTTTAACCCCGTTTTACCAGCTTAGCCGAGTTGTAAGCACATTATTTAGAGTCCTCTGCCATAATAATCATGACGATTTTAAGCGCGAGACCGTCGACTCGTATTTACAGACATTTCTCGGGCATCGTCAGTGAGACTTGTCGTTTATAGCGCCAAGGTATACATCTTCAAAAAGACATTAACCTCGGGTTAAGTATTCGTATGAAAGACTCATTTCGTATCCGCTCTGCTTTTAAGTAAGTGATTGCCTACTCGCTTTGGTACATGGATTCGAAGTCAAAGCTTACTTGCGATTCTGTTACTGTCAGTCCCATGTTGTGAATTATTTAAGAAATTTCACACGGTGTTTAATATTATGACCTTTACCATTTTGAGTTTCAAGTATATTAATTTCGCTGGTTGGTGTGATGAGTCTCATTGATAATGATGACGAGATGTGAATTGACCAAGTTTACGGCCCTATGGTAGAAATTATCATGACTACTATGGCGGAGGATTAGAAATAAGGTGCGTTAACCGTACTCATCCTGACAAAATGACCAAGTTGCGAAGACGAGGTCAAACCACCGTGATCAGGATATAAAACAACCAATCTTGGTAATTGTGGATAAGACGATAAAACAATTAATAATTTTGATTAAAAGGCACCTAATGGAAGCAAGCTGCCGAGCTCAATGATATCCTTTAGAATAGTTAAAAGGCCTAGAAGTCCTTAAGTCATCAAATCGATCAAAAAAAAGCTATGCATTAAGAAAAGATATATTCTTGATTTGGTTACGAGTTGAGATTTAGGAATCAAATTGGCATTTCTCTATTTTGTGCTTGATGGTTTTAGAAATATACAAATGGCTGAATATTACCATAACATTTATGAACTAAACCCTAAAATGACAAATTTTGGAAACCATAGATAGGGACACGCTTTGAATCTGTGTTGTCAAAGCTTATTTTTTAACAAGTTACAGACGTATAGTATGGGGGAATATACCAAAAAAGGAAATGTTCAACTTGAGCGTAGCGCTACTTGTTGATTCTGAAAAATCTGAAGAGTTCATTGATGAAGAGTCTTCAAGATCTTAAACATTAGAACATGCCACCCGGTAAGTTGCAAAGTGATATGACAATAACTTAATATCATCCAAAATTTTAAGGATAAACTTGTTTGAGCCAACTTATAACCAAATTTTCCAACACACTTTTTAGCATCAGACAATAATTTAGCCTAGTCTGTCTGGTTTCTTTCGAAGCATGCGGATTATGACAAAATTAACGAAGCCACTAATCGCTCAAGACAGTAGTTGATGATGTGTTCAAAGAAAAGCGTGCTTATTAATCGGGACTCAAGCAAAATTGTTAAAGTTAACAGCCGCTTATTATTTTGTGCGTTTTTCAAAATCTAACAAGAGATAGTAAAAGCCAAAAATAAGTAGATAGTGGGCCAGTGCAATTGTTCCACATACCTGCAGTATTTGGGATGTCGCTGTCACCACATGATCGGCCAGCAGGCAACTTTGCAGAGTAAGCCGACGCTGGACTGGTAATCGATGGCATTACAGGTGATTGTGACTTGTGCGAGGTGGCTATACTTGGTGGTAAAGGCAATTCGACACCAGACTTCGATGAACTATAAGAAATAGGCTGTGGCCTCGTTGAGGTTTGGACCCCTAAATCTTTGCTCCCCACTCTTTTCCATCCTGCTCCAGAGCCAAATCCTTGACATAAATCATCACCATTTCCACTCTTTCCAAGTTTTTCTGTACAAATATTTCCAAGTTCAGCTGGCCAATCCTGATCAATTCGACCTGTAGATTCTTCAGCTACTCTCACGGCAGAATTCGATTCATCAACATACCTGTTTGAAGAATTATGAGGCGTCCAAGAAAGTGGCGAAGAGGCTCGGAGTAGGTTGTCAGTGAGTGAATAGCTGGTCTCTGTATTTGGACTTGGAGGTGGATTGAGCATTTCCTGGTGGATGGAGGAAT